TTATTGACTATGCAAAAGCATTCAATTGTGTGGATCATAACAAATTATGGATAACATGGAAAAGAATAGGGATTCCAAAACACTTGTTTGTACTCGTGGAACCTGTCCGTAGACTAGGAGGCTGTCGTTCAAACAGAACAAGGGGATACTGCATGGTTTAAAATCAAGAAGAGAGCATGTCAGGGTTACATCCTTTCACTGTATTTATTCAATCTGTATGCTGAGCAAATAATCTGGGAAGCTGGATCATATGAAGAAGAACATGGCATCAGGATTGGAGGAAGACTCATTAATAACCTGCAATACTCAGATGACACAACTTTGCTTGCTGAAAGTGAGGATGACTTGAAGCATTTACCGATGATGATTGAAGACTATACTCTGCAGTATGGATTACACCTCAATATAAAGAAAACAAAAATCCTCACAACTGGTCCAATAAACATCTTCACGATGGATGTAGAAAAGATTGAAGTTGTCAAGGACTTCGTATTACTTGGTTCTACAATCAACACCAATGGAAGCAGCAGTCAAGACAACAGGTGACATATAGCATTGGGCAAATCTGCTGCAAAAGACCTCTTTCAAGTGATGAAGAGCAAAGTTGTCTCCTTGAAGACTAGGGTGTGCCCAACCCAAGCCATGGTATTTTCAGTTTCCTCTTATGCATGTGAGAGCTGGACAATGAATAAGGAAGACTGAAGAAGAGTTGATGCTTTTGAGTTGTGGTATTGGAGAAGAATGCTAAGAATACCTTGGTCTGCTAAAAGGACTAACAAATCTGTCCTGGAAGAAGTGCAGCCGGAATGCTTCTTGGAAGCAAGAATGACCAGGCTTCGTCTCACCTACTTTGGTCATGTTGTCAGGAGGAACCATTCCCTGGAGAAAGATACTATATTTTGTAAAGTGAAGGGTCAATGACTTAGGGGAAGGCCCTCAAGGAGATGGATTGACACAGTGGCTGCAACGATAGGTTTAGGTATAGCAAGGATTGTGAGGTTGGCCAGGACCAGGCAGTGTTCGTTCTGCTGTGGATAAGATCACTATGAGTCGGAGATGACTCGACCATACCTAACAACAATAACAACATTTGACACATATTCTGGGGGGGACACAATTCAAGACAGTGATAATAAAACATCTATGACTTTCTTTAAGTAATAGAGATTTTTGGACCTTTGAATAGTGACATTTATCACAGTTTCACAGAATACAATAGAATATATATCTTCAAAAATTTTATGATAACCTCAGTCATGAATATTGGCTCTTTCCTTTCTGCTGGTCCATTGTTTCTCATCTCCAAGTTACAACATAATTCATCCATTATAAGAACCTTACTAAAAGTTTTGATTATAAGTGTCCAACAGTATAAAAAGTACCAAACAGATTTGTAGATTTCTAATCTACTAATGCAAAGTGTATGACTACATACAGTAACCCTGCAGGCAGAGAGGTGGAAGGGGAGAAAGAAACTGGTTGAGCTCTAGTAATAAATAAATCCATACAGAAGTAGAGATGATCCATATTATAGTATATTCTACCACCAATACTGCAGCCAAAATGTACAAAAAGAGAGAAAGAAAGAAAAGAAACCTTTTCAAACAAAACTCAGAAGGAAGATGATAAAGCTGGGACTCTTGTTGTTGTTGTTGCCATGTGACGTCGAGTCAGACCTGACTCATTTGCGACACCTCCTTGGGTGTCCGAGGCAATATCACTACAGAAGTAGATTGGCCAGCCGTCCTCCTGAGGAGTGGCTGATGGGTTTGAACTGCCAGCCTTCTGGTTAGCAGTCAGGTGCCTTAGGCACTGTGGTACCAGAGCTCCTGGGACTCTTGTAATACATCTTAAAGGCTGTGGGAGAGGTGACCCAACTCACTGTGTAGTCTGTGTATATGGTGGCATGTAGTATGTAGGTTTATTCCAAAAAGAAGAAATACAGAATCTTAGATTAGTTTAGATTATGAACTAAAAAACTATAGGATGCCTATAAAAACTGGCTCACTCCTTTTGGTATGTATACTATCTAATTTTTAGAATCCAGTTTTAAAAATGAACAATGACTGTTGTTACTATAAGGTAGGAAAAATGCTCCTCCCTCATTTTGAAAATCTTAATTGGTGATACTTTTTTCCTGAACTTTTCGAAAAGAGGCAATGAGAGCACTTTGGTTTGGGTTCAAGTGAGAGGTCTTTAATGAAGATTTTAGACTTGAAGACATCTGCATTGAGGATTTATTTATAAATCTCCATGTTCAGAAAGCTTGGCTGAACGAAGCCAAACCAAAAATCAACCCACTCAGCAAGGACATGCACCTCTTTTCTTTTAGTAGAATTGTACTTTAAATATACTGGGGTGGTGGTGGTGGGTACTAATAGGTTAAAACCAGTCAAACACCCACTTTACACAGATAAAACCTTCACAAAGATCAACAGAAGTAATCTGGAGCTAAAACTGAATTGTGCAGATTTTCAATGAAGCCACCAAACAGTCATTATAACACAAAAGTCAGTTATCTACACTCTAGGCAAGCTTTCCAAGAAATGTGCCCCAAGAAGCATTAACCCTTGTTTTATGCCACCTTAAAGACTTGCTCATTTTATTTTCCAGATAGTTCAATGTTTTTGATAGAGTGTGCTCTCTATCACGTGGTAACGCTTTGGTACCAACTTAGGCTTGCTTATCTTAAAAACGTGTCATTCCCCCAAGAGAGGCTTTGATTCTGCTTTAGAAGTTTCATATAAATTAAAATATTTATCAAATATTAATATGGAGGGAGATGAAACTAGATGCAGCATACATAGTCAAATTACTATGTACTTAGTCATTACTTTCTCCTTCAAGGTTATTTGTACCCGAAACCTTAGTTTGTCTTGCTTAATATTTTAGTGGTACAAGGTTTGAATCATTAGAACATTGACACAAGGGCTTAATATTTCAAAATTATTAACAAATACCATTAGGGGCAAGTCCATGTTACTGAGTTATGACAAATTTATTATCATGAGGGAAAACAAGTATAGCTAGCCATCTTTAGAAAATGCCTCAACCACTGCTTCTCAATATAGAAAGATTAAAACTACCTACGGTTTATCATACAACAAAATCCCATCTCTGTCCCCTGAAATTGCCGTTTTCATTCATTAGAAAACCAAAAAACCAAACTCACTGCCGTGGAGTTGGATCTGACTCATAACGACCCCTCCTTGGGTTTCCAGGGTAGTATCACTATGCAAGTAGATCACCCTATCTTCTGAGGAGTGGCTGGTGGGTTTGAACTGCCAGCCTTCTGGTTAGCAGTCACATGCCTTAGGGACTACACTACCAGAGCTCCCTTCATTCATTAGAAGGGGATTTTAAAAAAGACTTAAAGAGCACTTTACAGCAGCATTCAGCTTTTGTATGAAATACTCAGCATCTTAAATATTATGTACACTTTTTTTTTTTTTAATTTTTTAAGTGAGAACTAGATACTGGCTTCAAAGTTTGTGAAACTGGGGAAAAAAAATAACCCATTCAAAACCATTCTATATATTGTCTTTTGGCAGAATAGCAAGTATACGCATTAAAAATAGGAGGGTTAACTTTGTTGCATCTTTCCAAATTTTAAATCATTTTGTGTTCCCTTTCTGCATACCCCTCAGCTACCACTCCTGAGTGGAGAGGGGTGTAGGCCCTGGCCGCTGCTCCTCTGGCTTCTCTGCAGCTGCTTTCTTCCTGCCGCAGCAAGGTTGGGAGAGATGTGCATCGATGAGGACTGCCCCAAAATGGCCTTTATAGATAAGCCCACAACATATTTTCTGTCTTTTCCAGTATGTAAGATCCAAAACGGAAAAGACTGGTGTTCTGTTAGAGACAGAAGCCATCTCTGTATCTGAGCCACCACCTGACTGGTTTCTGTAACAAGGAGACTGAGCTGGGGAGGCACTCGAGGTGCTACTGCGGGCATCAGAATTAGGGCGTTTAAATTCCTTCTGTAGTTCACTGATCTGGTTGCTTTTTATCCTGTGTCCAGATAGAGTTTTCACTTTCTTTACTTTCAGTGTAGTCTTTAGGTCCCTGCCCTTGTATCTACCACATGATTCCATTTTATTTTTCTTTTTCTGATTCCGCTGGCAGCTTCTTCCATCTTTTCACAAGCCGGACACAGGCATTGCAGATGTCTCCTGAACGAGTCTCATGCAACCCAAAACAGCTGAGGAAGTCCTTTTCATAGTGTCAAGTTAAAATAAAATATCTTCATGAAAATAAGTAGCAAATTATTATTTTGCTAATCATTGCTTCTTTTTTATTGAAATGTAAACAACGAGAAATTATTTATCCTATCATTTGGCACATATCTGAACTATTACAATGCTGTAGGGAGTAAATATATGGCTGATGGGGTGAAATTTGGAACAACTGATAATCATCGCTTATTGTAATCTATGTTAACATCTGGTTAAAGACCCTTGGCTTTTGGTTTTGTATATATAGCCAAAAACCTCATGAATTCCAAAATCACGGATTTCATTCCTGTAGTTGAGCAGAACAGGTGACAATACCTGTCTGGCTAGCTTTATTTTCATGATTATTTTTCTTTCTGTATTTTAACACTCTCAGTGTTGGAGATGCATCATGAGCAAGAATATATTTTAAAATGATAAAGCGTTCTTAAACTGTTACCACTATTATTTTATTTTTGGATATAGTCAAAATATTTCTTCTTTCTGCTGCATTTTATTAAGTTAGACATGGGTGAAAATGTAATGAGATCAAGATCCCCTTTCTATAATTTTTTTTAAGGCTCATGATCCCATGGAAAATAGCTGACTTATTTGAACACAGGTGTCTGAGCTGAAAACAAGGACTTTGAGGTTGATAGGTCCTGGGATAAATTTAAGCAATGTAAGATAATTTAATTTTATAGTTTTATATAATTTTAATTAAATGTTTCCATCAATGTTACTGTTAACAAAGTAAATGAACTAATTTTTTGAACTATTTGTGACATATAGGACTTCTTTCATGCTGCCAGAAACAACCAGTCTTTGTTTTCTAAAATAAATGAAGAGAAAATAGTTTTTTTCTTGCACTTATTAGGAATAGATACAAATGGACATGCTCATCGACCATACTCGAGGTAATTTTAATGTGTTCAATTTTATTTTTTTAGGGAAACTGCTATTCTGTTTGAATATTTAAAGATATTTATGATGTTTTCTGTGTAATTGTGAAAACAGAAGTTTTTCTTTCACATTATGCACTGTTTCAATCGATGTTAAATATGTACTAAACCAACCTAGTTCAGCTGTCTGGAAAGCTTAAATATAATTTGTTCAAAACTATTATTATACTCTATGTTAGAAGTAATTTAAGAGATTAAAATATTTTGTACATCAAACAATGATATTTGCCTATTAATATATTAAGATCAATATAGTTTGTGTTATGAAAGATGTGAACTTGAAACTCATTATATTAATTGCATTTGAAACTTAAAAAATTTCATTAAAATGCATTGGCTGGTCCACACTCTCCTTTTAGCCCATCTTTGAAAGCTATTTTTAGTTCTTTTGTTTCTTTAAAAGGGAAACAAATGTATTTTCAACAATTTAAAGAACTCTGATTTTTAAATATTAAAAATGAAATCTAAAAGCATTTTAAAGTTACTGACTTTGAATGAAATGAGTTCATGTTGAATAAATTTGATTTCTGTGAATTAATATAATTTAATTTGCTCTTCTATTTCTTTTTAAACAGAGAATACAAGGACAATATTAAAAAAGTTGATGATGGAGTGAAAGAAATCGTGTCCATATTTAAAAGTTTTTATGGAAATGATGGGAAAACATCATTCATCCTTACCTCTGACCATGGAATGACAGACTGGGGTTAGTTTGTGTCTATGTGATATATAGCTTATAATTTTTTGTTGTTGTTGTTATGTGCTGTCAAGTCAGACCCGACTCATAGCAACCCCTCCTTGGGTTTCTGAGACAGTATCACTACGGAAGTAGATAATTAAAGTATGGTAAATGTAGCTTACAAAGATCTTACAAAGTTAAGAGGATTAAATATCTTCTTATATGCAAACTGTTTAGCACATAATAATTGTATACTTAAAATGTTAGCTTAGACTGATCTTATTTTAAGAATCTTTTTCTAACTATTAAAGCAATATATTCACATTTAGACTGAGAAAGGTAAAAGTGTAGAGAAGGAAATAAAGAGTACCTATTATTGGTCTAAGGAGCTCCGGTGGCATAGTGCCTAAGGCATTGACTACTAACCAGAAGCTTGGTGGTTCAAACCTCCTATCTGCTCTGTGGAAGGAAGACAGGGCAATCTGCTTCCATAAAGATTTACTGCTTTGGAAACTCAGCGCAGGTCACTGTGAGTCGGAATTGACTTGATGGCAGTGGGTTTGGCTTCGTTTGCTTTAGAATTGATTTAGCTGGAGTTAACTGTGAGAAATGGCAAAGGAAGCAACATTAAGATGGTATTATTGAGAGGCTACTGAAATTCTAGGAGCTCTGTTAGCACAGTTCCTAAGGCACTTGACTGCTAACCAGAAGGCTGGTGGTTCAAACCCACCAGCCACTCCTAGGAAGGAAGGTTGGGCAATCTACTTCCATAGAGATACCGCCTCAGAAAACCAAGGAGGGGTTGCTATGAGTTGGGTCTGAGTCGATGGCATATAACAACACCAACAACACTGAAATTCTACACTAGAGGATTCTGTTCTCCCAAGGCAAGTACAGTACATGCAGAGAGAACAAAATAAGGTAAAGGTGAGACTTGGGTTCCCAAATCACAATACAGAATTCTGTAATCTAGGTTCTACCTTAAAGAGGATTCTTCTGGTTAGAGTTCATCAGCCACAATGGCTGAGAAAAAAGGAACCAGAGACTTCCTGCCTTCCTCTCCGGAACAGACCTGGCCTAGACTGCTTGCCTCAAGTGTGGATGGCTACTCTCAAAGGAGCTCTCCCCACTTCTGCCTAGTGCTCTGCTCCAGCTGTGGTGACATCTCCTCCATGTCTCCACTTACTCAAGACAGGCCACCCTAGTTCTAGCTTCTGCCAGAGTACCCCAGCTTCTGAACTCCTGTTATACCATTTTGCTGAATACATTCTGCAGAAGTCAGGTAGCCAACACTTGCCCTCCTTCCTTCCTTTGGGGAACAGTAAGAGTACGTAGGTTTTAAACTTCCTAGAAAGCTTGTATGTTTGATTGTTAGGTTAGTTGGTGTTTCAGGTTTTTTCCTGTTGTACATTGATCATTTAACCAGTCTAGGCCAGGTCTGTTCTGTTTTCAAATAACCATGAAAGCATGATTTTTATGTCTATGTTACAGTATATTTGTTCCCTATATAAATACTCTGACAATTCTTTTCTTATTGTTTCTTGTGGTATGTGTTAGGATCTAATAGTTCATTCTTGTTGTTAGTATTAGGTGCTGTTGAGCTTGGTCCTACTCAGAGTGACCTCATTTACAACAGAACAAATCATCGCCTGGTCCTGCACCATCCTCATAATCGTTGCTTTGCTTGAGCCCATCACTATAGTCACTGTGTCAGTCCATCTCATTGAGAGTCTTCTTCTTTTTAACTAAAGTATGAGAAGTGAAGTCTCACCATCCTTGCTTATAAGGAGCATTTTGGCTGTATTTGATCCAAAACAGATTTGTTTGTTCTTCTGGCAGTCCGTAACTTGTTATCCACACTGTCAAATGCCTTTGCATGGTCAGTAAAACACAAGGAAATATCTTTCTGGTATTCTAAGCTTTCAGCTAAGATACAGCTGACATCAGTAATAATATCCCTTGTTCCACATCCTCTTCTGAATCCATTTGGAATTTCTGGCAGTTCCTTGTATTACTGCAACCATTTTTGAATTATCTTTAGCAAAATTTTACTTATGTGTAATATTAATGATATTGTTAAATAATTTTTGCATTTTGTTGGATCACTTCTCTTCGAGTCGGGCACAGATATGGACCTCTTCTAGTCAGTTGTCCAGGTACTTGTCTTCCAAATTTCTTGGAAATATGCACACGAGTGAGCGCTTCCAATGTTGCATTCATTTGTTGAAACATCTGAGTTGGTTTTCCATCAATTCATGGAGCCTTGCTTTTCTGCCAATACCTTCAGTGCACCTTGGATTTCTTCCTTCAGTACTATTTGTTCTTGATCATATGCTGCCTCCTAAAATGGTTGAACATTGACCAATTGTTTTTTCCACGGTGATTCTGTGTATTCTTTCCATCTTCTTTTGACGCTTCCTGCATTATTCAGTATTTTGCCCATAGAATTCTTGAATACTACAACTCGAGGCTAGAATTTCTTCTTCAGTTTTTCAGGTTGCAAATGCCTAGCATGTTCTTCCCTGTTGGTTTTTTAACTTCAGTTCTTTGCATATTTCAGTATAATACTTTACTTTGTCCTCTTGAGCTGCCCTTCTATGCAGCTCATTTACTTGATCACTTCTTCCATTCACTTTAGCTACTCTACATTCAGTAGCAAGCTTCAGAGTCTCTTCTGATACCCATTTTGTTTTTTTCTTTCTTCCTTGTCTTTTTAATGACCTTTTGCTTTTTCATGTATGATGTCCTGATGTCATCCTGCAACTTATTCATGTGTTAGTGATAGGCAACCCAAATTATCAGTGGCTTAACACAATAAACATTTATTTCTTACTCCTTCCGCTTTATTCAGAATGGGTTGACACAGGGTTGTGGTCATTGGCGTTACCCAGGCATCGAGGCTGATAGGTCCCATTTCCATACATGGTGCTAAAGGGGCAGGGAGGCAGCATCTTCTGACCTCCTCTAACTCCACAAGAGAAAGACAGGTCTACCATCAACAATCTAAGGCCTGTTCTTAAGAGACCAGCCATCTTACCAACCTTGACACCACTGCCCCTCCCATGGCACCCACCGCCTCTCTTTTGGGTTTGATAATTTGCTATAGTGGCCACCCAGAACTCACAGATTATGAGGTTTATTAGAGAGGCAGCAGGCTACAATTCAAATTCAGGAATGTACTCAGGATACAGTTCTTTGATCAGGACAGTCTCCCCTCTGCTGTACTTTTAGACATGCTTCTCTGGCCCTTGGCCTTTTGGCCTGGCCTTTGGTTCTGTGGGCCAGGCAAGACTGCCGCTGTGTCTCATGTCTCTTGGTTCCAGTGCCGCTGTCTCTCAGCTGGGTGTCTCGCTCAACAGCATGTCTCTCTCAGTAGCACATCTCTCTCTCAGCAGCGGGTCCCTCAGCAGTGCATCTGTCTGTCAGCAGCATCTCTCTCTCTCTCTCTGCAATGCATCTCTCTCAGCTGGCACAGAGATTCGTTTCTGCCTCTAAACCAAACTCGTGCCGTTGAGTCAATTCTGATTCATAGCAACCCCTCCTTGGGTTTCTGAGGCAGTATCACTATAGAGTAGATTGCCCAACCTTCCTTCCAAGGAGTGGCTGGTGAGTTTGAACCGCCAGTCTTCTGGTTAGCAGTCAAATGCCTTAGGCACTATGCCACCAGAGCTCCCGAGGAGGGCTCATTTTAAGCCTGGCAGAGTGGCAAAACTAACCAATCCCAACATCAGAATTCTGCATACCTGAGAGAGCGTGAACTTCCCAGAAGATTGCTTCATGCTGCGCCAACAGAAACACCCCAGGTGGATGATTTCAACAGTCAGGAGTTCAAAAACAGCTACTCAGTTGCTCATAGCAAATTCCACCATGGAGTCAATTACCAGTCTCATTACAGGGAACAACCACTACCAGCTGCCCAGCCAAGCTAACACGTTTGCATGGTCCCACCCAGTAATCCGGTGGGAGTTACAAAGGCTATGGCTAGAAAAGCCTCACCATGCCATTCACTGTACCACACATGGCTTTCATGATGGCTATGCTGCTGTTTTTTGATAAACTTCTAGCATTTGGATTATCTACTTAAAGTATGTGAACATTCTGAACAATTTTTCATAGTTATGTGCCTTAAT